ACGGACAACGGAAACCGACAAATCGGCTTTTGAAGCGGAACTCTCCGATCGCCTATCGGTTTGACCACCAGCCGGAGGGCCCAATAAGCACTGAAAGCAAATCAACGAAGCTATAGAAGGATCGATAAAAACAACATCGAACCCTGATGTAAGCTCCAATTACGAACGATGGACTTCGTCGACCTCAGCTGCCCTGCTGGAAGCCCGCAGAACCCTTCCTCCTGATGCCACATATGATACAGCGCGCAAATCCCTCAAGCTCATCAAAATTCTGAGGAAGAACCGCTCAAAGTTGTGAGCAGAAAATTGTAAAGGTATGGTGAATGCTGCGGCTATTGGTAATAGCCGCAACCTTTTCCGTCTAACTAAGAATACGAGCCCCAGGAAAATAGGTGTAAGCGAGGTAATTAAGGAATCCGATGGCACACTGAGTCACCATCAGTAACATCGTCCTAATCGATGGGATGAACAGTTCGCGGTTCATTTTAACTGACCCCCATTCACACCTGACCTATTACCCCACCTCGAGTGGGTAAATACGCCCAGTTGATGCCAGTCTTCCATTTGAAATGGAGATTTCCCAGGAATCAAGTCATCTCAAAACGTATGCTTCTTAAGTGATCGTTCTCAGATCAGGAGCGCAAACAATTTGATCATCCATGAATTGGAAATCACACTTTAGACAGAATTTAAAGATTACAATCTTTTGTCAATTTGCAATCAAACATAAAAATGATATTATTTCTAAGCAAAGAAAACAGATTTCTGTAAGCTGAGACATCCTTTTTTAAAGTGAACGCAAAAACCATCTTTAGTTATATGTCTATCGGACATGCATATATAATGAAAATTTAACGTTCATTGTTTTTGACACGACATATATACATGAATTTTCATGAAAACGATGAGGTAAAAATATTTCTTTGCATTATATAATGCATGTACGCTCACTACCTCAAGCTCTGTTGCACAATCCGATAGGATACGGATCATGCATCTCTTCAAGAGTGCCCTACCATATTGGATTGGTGCAAAATATAAGAGTTGCCAGTGAACATCTCCAAATATGNACATGAGAATCTGGAGTACCGTTCTTCGACAATCATCTGAGGAAGAGATGCATATGTATGTATACAGACACATTAGCAGACATATGACCCGATTGTCAATATTTTTCCGATACTCATTTGGAGTATATGATTAACGCAAAATGTAGGTACAGAAGCGAGGAAAAACAGTCAGTTTGGGGAATAGCAAGTTTTTGTTTGTTTACTGCACGCCATTTTGAGTGTTGATTTTCGTTTTTACTTACTTTTGGGAGTGCACAAAGCAGAGGAAAAATTCGTGTCACTAACTTCGGTTCGATGCCACATCTCGCAGTGTCTGCATTCAAAGACAATCTGAATCTTTGGGACCCCATCGAGGAAGCCCCAATAGAAGCTAGATCCGGGCATAGTCTCTTTAACCCTCTGCGCTATGTCATAGCCTTCCCACCTCGCTGTTTCTTTCAGCCTGAATTGATGTCTGCGAATAGTGCACGGTGTGGCAAACGTTTCTCAGACATTCGTAGGACGCGCCCTAGCCACCTAAGAAGATGCTGTGAGATTATATTGCTCAACAGTAGACTACCAGTAGTCTGAACTCGTCGTTATTCACGCGATGCTTCCACCATACGTGGTCGATGTTGCGCAGACAATGGTTGTCAAAGACGGATAGTTGTTGGATGTGATCTGCTAGGAGAGGCCAGGTTCCGTAGTTATAGAGCAACACGGTGGAAACCATTGGGCAATACACGCATCGTTACAGTGAAAAGGATATGTTGCGCCGGAGATGTTGCAGATTAGCAAACGCCAACGCTACAGCATGGTTAATGGTTGCACAAACTAAAACTGAAACTGAAACACCGCCAGCCATTATGCAACTCCCGAGGTAGACAAATTTTGAGTCGTTCCAGGGTTTCCACACCCAACGAAAGTCCAGGAATGGGTAGATACCTCTCTCCAATATCTTTTTGCCCCTTGAAGATGTAAAGGACATAAAATAGCGAGTAACCTGAATTGCCAATCGTTGGTGCGTTGTCTATTTCGAAAAAGAAAATCAATTTTTGAAATCAATTTTCGTTATTCGATAAGATACATAGACTTAAATAGTTATTCTGAGCAATTTCATGTATTCAGACGATAGTAACATTCTATCAGGAAGATTCACAGCACTTAAAGTGAATGAGACACTCAAAGGTCGGCCGTAGATCACCCTGTGACGCCTGGGCACCGAATAAGACAATATCATCAGAATACTCCAAGTCTAAGACTCTGTCATCAAAGAAGCACCTTACCATGACCGCCATGGCACCAAAGAGTACCTTTTAAAAGTGTTTATTGACTGTCAGAAAAAAAATTTCGCCAGCAGTTTAATCTACCTTCGAAATATTTTCCCAACCAGAAAATCACTCCCCATCGTTCAATATCATCATAAAATCATACTAACATCGCTTTTTGAGTGTATACCGCCACTTATTCACCCAGTTATCCAGCAATCAAGTGTGACGTTGCAAAAAAGGACTGGTGTGCTCCTAAATTTATACATATATGAATTTATGCTTGCGCATATATATTGATGCAAAGAACCTAAAAGAAGAGGGAGTTTTATTGAGTTTGATTACAATCTTCCAACATTATTTCACAGATCAACCACTAACCGTCTCAACCATCCCGAACGTTGATAACTAATCCGAAAAGTGCGTCAAAACTGTGATAAAAGTGAATGGAAATTAACGTAGCTAAACAAGTCAGGTCGAGTCAGTTCAGTTCAGTTCAGTTTGCACAGAACAGTAGTGGCCGAGACCAATCGTGCGTCCAGATCGTTGTGTTGTCAGCTAGTCTCCTTGGCTTCCAACACTGCTCGTCAAAGGTTCGTTCTGCTTGTTTCTGAAAGGCAGAATATTTAGGTGCAGTATCTCATCCACCAGATATGTAGAAATGAAATACATTATTACAGGAACGACTCACCTTATTCCGTTATTGTCCCTCAAATGGCCAGCTCCGGGAAAACCACATCCCAGCACAGATCCAAGGCCTTTTTGAAGGCTACAACTGTTGAGCCGCTTACAACATTTTCCGGCAATCTGTTCCACAAGGGTACCACCCGATTTGTGAAGAACCTGGCCCTCAGCTCCAACCTGGAGTGCTCCCTTTGCAGCTGAAGACTATGTCCTCTGGTGCCGCACTCTGGTGCAGGAACGAAGAGGCTGCTTAGTTCTATGCCCCACAACCCCTTAACAATCTTGGAGGCTTCTATCAAGTTGCCTGCTAGGCTGTGAGAGTCCCTTCAATATCCCGAAAACCTCTATCAGGTCACCTCTTATTCGTCTATGAGGTAGGGAGAACAAGTTTAGCTCTCTTAGGCGCCTGGGGTACGACATCATTTTTAGGGCAGGAAAAAGCCTAGTGAATCATCTCTAGAGCCTTTTGGTCGCGTACGAGGTTCGGCGCCCATTCCTGCACGCAGTACTCGAGGTGTAGACGCACCAAGGTCTTGTAGAGGGACATTAAGACTGCAGGGTCCCTCGATGCTACTGTTCTTTATAGCAAGAACAGCGCAGGTCAAAACACAGGACTTTAGGCTTCGGCTAGTTAACGTCCAAGTTCTTGCGCTTGTGAGCTGGTGATTCCCATTGTGCTGCGACTGCCAAGTAGTTCCACAGTTTTGATGGGTGGTCAGGTCAGGTCAGGTCAGGTTGCACAGGACTGGTAGTGGCCACAGGCCAATCGAGCGTCTAG